AAAAAAAAAAAACCACAACTAAATATCATAAAAGCTCTTTCTGTATTTGGAATTGTTTTTCTAGGTTATATTCTCTTGTAGATTGTGTCAAAAGTGTGTGTGTGTGTATAAATATAAATATATATGTGCATATATATAAATGTATTCATACACAGTGAATATCACATTTCTGTCATTTCATATAACTGGACGTGGAATCCTATTTAAGTACTTTTGCTTATTTGGTGTCTTTTTTTCTGTTTTGCCTATTTTTAGTATTTCAGGGATTTTACTTCAACAGTCTCTGATCTTTACTATGTGCATATTTACTTTAGCTTTCTTTATATACAGCTTCCTTTTTGCAGTTTGCTTCATGCACACCATGCCTGCAGGCGTAGCACAGAAGAGCAGGAAGGGAGCAGGGCCTTTGGGGCAGCGCTGGGTGGGTGGGATCTGGAGAGAGGCTGGGAAGTGTTGGCAGAACTGGAGCTAGGGATGTGAGGATGCCCTGAGGACTAGGGGTTAGAGACTGGGGCTGGGAGGGATGGGAAGGAAGCAGTAGGAGACAGATGAGGCAGGCTCTGGCGCACATAGGAACAGACTTCGGGCATATGCAGATTTGCGCAGTCCGTTGAGTTTTTTAAAAGGTTTGTAGTGGGATACACTGTAGACAGTTTGTGAATCAGTCCGTTGAGTTTTTTAAAAGGTTTGTAGTGGGATACACTGTAGACAGTTTGTGAATCAGTCCGTTGAGTTTTTTAAAAGGTTTGTAGTGGGATACACTGTAGACAGTTTGTGAATCTGTCCGTTGAGTTTTTTAAAAGGTTTGTAGTGGGATACACTGTAGACAGTTTGTGAATCTGTCCGTTGAGTTTTTTAAAAGGTTTGTAGTGGGATACACTGTAGACAGTTTGTGAATCTGTCCGTTGAGTTTTTTAAAAGGTTTGTAGTGGGATACACTGTAGACAGTTTGTGAATCTGGGTAAATTGCGGATCAGAGTTCCTTGTACCATTCTTGCGACTCTTCTGCAAGTTTGAAATTATATCAAAAGGAAAAGTTTATTTTTTTAATTTATTTGAGAGAGAGAGAGCACAGGCAGGGGGAGCAGCAGAGGGAGAGGGAGCAGGGACCCGATGTGGGGCTTGATCCCAGGACCCCGGGAGACGCTTAATGACTGAGCCACCCAGGCGCTCCTCAAAATGAAAAGTTACCCTTTAAGCAAAGTTTGTGGTTTTTGCATTGTGGTTGCTTTAGGCTGGATGTTTGTGTCCTCCCAAAATTCATATGTTGAAACCCTAATGCCCAATGTGATGATATCGGTGGGCCTTTGGGAGGTGATTGGGTCATGAGGATGGAGCCCTCACGAAAGAGATTAATGAATGCCCTTGGAAAGAAGCCCCAGAGAGCTCCCTTGCCCCATCCACCAAGCAGGATACAGTACAGAGCCACCATCTGTAAACCAGGGAGGCAGGTCCTCACCAGAACCTGACCTTGCTGGCATCCAGATCTTGGGCTTCCAGCTTCCAGATTTGTGAGAAATACATTTCTGTTGTTTAGAAGCTATCTGGTCTGTGGTATTTTGTTTTAGCAGCCTCAACGAAGTAAAGACAATGGTTAAAAGCTTGGGTTCTGGAGTTAGACAGACTTGTGTTGGAATCCCAGTTCTACTTACCAGCGGCTTGGTCTTGGCAACTTAATTTATTTGTTCGTTGGTTCATTCATTCAACAAATAAAAGAGTGCATCCATGTGCCAGGTA